CATTCGGTGGCCTCTGAACCGCGGCTACCAGAGGCATCAGCCAATCGCCCCATCCCGAGGGGTGCCAAGGAGGTACCAGTCACACTACCTCCCCTGGAACCAACCCCAGCTCCTGAGCCTGATCCATGTGTGGTTGGCCCCAACAGAGAGGCAGGACAGGAGGCCCCTGGAGACCAAGAGGGTCAGGAGGACCCTGTTCCCCCATTAGCCTCCTCCTCATCCTCCATGGACTAGGCTGTTGCAGGCACCTCCATCTCTGGACCACCCCCTGTAGACAGCCATGCCCACCAGGACCTCCTTCTCAGGGTGGTGCGAAATATGGGCCTGCAGGCTGAGGAGGTGCTAGAGTCAGAGGATCCAATGGTCAACTTCCTGGCCCCGGAAGGCCCGTCACACATGGTTCTATCCCTCATCAAGACTGTACAGCCCAATGCTAAGACCATTTGGCAGACCCCGGCCTCCATCCCTCCCACCGTGAAGGGTGTGGAAAGGAAGCATTTTGTACCATCTAAGGGGTATGAATACCTCTTCACACACTCACAGCCTTGCTCATTGGTGGTGGCTGCAGTAAATGAAAGGAGAGGCAGGGACAACAAGCCCCAGTGCCTAAGTCCAAGGATGCCAAGCGCCTAAATTTATTTGGGCGCAAAGTGTATTCCACGGGGGGTTACAACTCAGGATGGCCAACCAGAGGCAATTCTGAGTTGATACAGCTTCAACTCCTGGAACTTGATGCTCAAGTTTAAGGAGCTGGTGCCAACTGAGTCCAGCGAGGAGTTTGGAGCAATAGTGGAGGAGGGCAAGGAGGTGGCATGGACCTCTTTACAGGCCTCGCTGGATGCTGCAGACTCAGTGGCGCTCACCTTGTCCTCCAATATCGCCATGAGGCGTAGCTCATGGCTGCAGGCCTCGGAACTCCCGCCCGAGGTTCAACAGACCACGCAGGACCTGTTTGATGGGGCAGGTCTGTTTGCGGAGCAGACTGACTCTCAGCTGCATAGCCCTTGAGTCTTTTAGCCTCACGTGAAGTCCTTGGGTATGCACACCCCAGCAACCCAACGCAAACATTTCAATCCTCAGCAGCAGTGTTCCTATCCTTCTTGGCCAAGGCAGGACTTTTAGAGAAGAAGGGGCAGAAATGGCAGACTCAAGCCTTCCCACTCCCCGCCCGGGCAGGGCCAGGGCCCTAATAAACCATCGTCAGGTTCAAAGCAGGCCTTTTGAAGGTTCGGCACACCGGCCACAATTCCAGATCCTTGAATCGTCTGTCCCACTTCTGCCGTGCTTGGCCCCAAATAACTTCGGACCGCTGGGTTCTCCTTATGGTAGAAGTGGGATATTCTCTCCAGTTCTGCTCCTACCCTCCCTCCAACCCTCCTTCCCCATCCGTCTTCAGGGACCCTTCTCACGAGCAACTCCTTATCCAGGAGGTGCAGGCGCTCCTCACCATGGGAGCAGTGGAGGAGGTTCCTCTGGCAAGGGATTCTATTCCCGCTATTTCCTGATCCCCAAGGCCAACAGGGGTCTCAGACCCATTCTAGACCTGTGAGGACTCAACAAGTTCATGATAAAGTAGAAGTTCCGCATGGTCTCCCTGGGCACAATTATCCCTTCTCTGGATCCGGGAGACTGGTACTCCTCCCTCGACATGAAAGACGTGTACTTTTACATAGCTATTCGGCCTGCACACAGACAATTCCTACGGTTTGTGGTCGACCACAAACATTATAAATTTACGGTCCTTCCATTTGGCCTCTCAACAGCCCCCCGAGTGTTCACCAAGTGCATGTTCGTCGTGGCTGCTTTCCTCTGTCGGAGATAGGTGCAGGTATACCCATACCTTGAAGACTGGCTGCTCAGGGGCCGCACTGGAGGCAGGTGGAGTCTCAAGTCCAATTGGTCAGATCCACATTCGAGAGACTGGGTCTCCTCCTCAACCTGAACAAGTCAACCTTGTTACTGACCCAAAGAACAGAATTCATTGGGGCGGTGTTGGACTTGGTTCAAGTAAGAACGCTTTTCCCAGAGTCCCGCTTCCAAACCATGACGGACATCATTCAGGGCCTCAGGCAATACCCGACCACCACAGCAAGGGGATGCCTGAGTCTCCTCGGTCACACGACAGCCTGCACTTATGTGACTTGGCGTTCCAGACTGAGGCTCAGGCCTCTATATGCATGGCTTGCTTCGGCCTATTGCCCGGGATGCGACAGCCTGAATTCAGTGATCACGATGCCGGGGCAGGTGCTCGAGTCCCTTCAGTAGTGGCTCAACCCTTGGTAGGTGTCTGAAGGAGTCCCCTTCAAGAGTCGTCAGCCCTCCTTGTCCCTGGTAACGGACACTCTGGGATGGGGAACACATTTGGGAGACCTCCAAACGCAGGGCCTTTGGTCGCAGGACTAGCTCACCCTCCATATCAATATCAAGAAGCTGAGGGCAGTGCGACTAGCATGCCAGACCTTTCAGGCCTGACTACGAGGTCAGTGTGTAGCAGTTCTGACAGACAACACCACTGCCATGTTTTACATCAACAGGCAGGATGGAGCCCGGTCCTCTCCCCTTTGTCGGGAAGCCCCCTGGCTGTGGGAGTTTTGCATAGCCCACTCCATTCACCTGGAAGCGTCCTATCTACCAGGAGTTCAGAACACACTGACAGACCACCTCAGGAGGTCCTTCTGCAATCACGAGTGGTCCATTTGGCCAGATGTCATACACTTGGTCTTCCAAAGATGGGGGTTTCCCCATGTCAATCTGTTCGCCACCCGGAGCAACAGAAAGTGCCCAATGCTCTGCTCCTCCCAGAGAGGCAGCCCAGGCTCACACGGACACATTCCTGGTACCCTGGGGAGGCCGTCTGCTCTACACCTTTCCCCCGTTAGCTCTTGTGCACAAGGCCCTACCCAAGGCCCTCAGGGACGGGGCAGAGATAATTCTGGTGGCACCAGTGTGGCCCCAACAACATTGGTACACCACACTCCGGGAGCTATCAGTGGTCGCCCCAATCACATTGACTCTCCTACCCAACCTGATCACTCAGGACCACGGTCACCTTCATCACCCCGACCTGCAGTCCCTCCACCTCACGGCTTGGAAGCTTCATGGCTGAACCCCATGGAGCTTCTGTGCTCAGAACAAGTAAGGGAGGTCCTAATCAGCAGCAGGAAGCCCTCCACTAGAGCCACATATCTGACAAAGTGGAAAAGATTTACTTGTTGGTGTGACGAGCGTTGTACAGCCCCTGTTCAGTCACCTGTACCTCTCATCTTAGAGTATCTTCTGCACCTGGTAGCATCCTCCATAAAGGTATATCTCGCTGCTATTCTGGCTTTCCACCCGGGAGCGTCTGGATGCTCTGTCTTCGCCAGCCCTATGGTTGGTCAGTTCCTCAAGGGTCTGGAACAGCTACATCCCTAGATCAGACAGCCGGTCCCCATGTGGGACCTTAACCTGGTACTCTCCAGGCTAATGGTGGCCCCATTTGAACGGCTTACAACTTTCTCCCTTCTCTATCTGTCTTGGAAGGTAGCCTTTCTGGTCGCAGCAAGGAGGGTGTCTGAGTTAAAGGCCCTTACCTCAGACCCGCCTTATACAGTTTCCCACAGGGATAAAGTGCAACTCAGACCTCACCTGGCCTTTCTTCCTAAGGTTGTGTCACATTTCCACACTAGTCAGGACATTTTCCTGCCTGTTTTTTATCATATGCCTCATGGCAGTAGGCGTGAGCAGAGGCTGTACTCTCTGGATGTTCGGCAAGCACTAGCCTTCTATATCAAGCACACTAAGCCGTTCAGGAAGTTGAGCCAGTTGTTCATAGCAGTGGCAGATCAGATGAAAGGACTCCTGGTCTCATCTCAAAGAATATCCTCCTGGATCACTTCATGCATCCACACGTGCTACGAGCTGGCCAAAATACCTGCCCGGCTCTTACAGCACACTCCACGAGGGCCCAGGCCTCATCAGTGGTGTTCCTGGCCCAGGTCCCAGTACAAGAAATCTGCAGGGCAGCAACTTGGTTCTTGGTATATACGTTCACCTCTCATTATGCCATTATCCGGCATGCCAGGGATGATGCAGCTTTCGGCAGAGCGGTGCTCCAATCAGCGATTCCATAACTCTGACCCCAAGGCTTGGGGGTCACCTAATTGGAATTGATATGAGCAATCACTCGAAGAAGAAGAAAAAACAGTTACTCACCTTCTTGTAACTGTTGTTCTTCGAGATGTGTTGCTCATGTCCATTCCAAACCCACCCACCTTCCCCTCTGTCAGAGTAACCGCAAGAAGGAACTGAGGCGGCGCCAGGTCAGCAGGGCCATATATTAAACACCATGAAGGCACCAGTCTAGGGGGCTCCACAGCCAACCGAGTGGGTGCTGCTAGGAAAAAACTTTCCGATGACTGTGCACGCAGAGTGCGCACACCTAATTGGAGTGGATATGAACAACTCATCTCAAAGAACAACAGTTACAAGAAGGTGAGTAACCGTTTTTTCTCCCTTATCTGAGGTGGACTCAAATGCAAATTACATCCTTAACTTCACTTCCCGAGGAAGGAATTTAATTTGGTCAGTAGGACTTTTGGGGTTTTATTTTATCATCTTGAACTTTACCAGTTTTTCATAAACCCTGTATGCAGTGTTCCAATCTGCTGAGTCACAGCCATACATGTTTTTGTGGCTTCTTCTGCAAATACAGTAGGCAGTGTAGAAAAGTTTTATGAACTATTTATGGGAAGGATGAAGTATGTATCTCCATAAAACTGGTTAGAAAAGAAACTGAACATGACAGATATTTTTAAGCCACTTTATAAGATTAAGAACAGGAAAATGACATCATTTTCTGTAAGCCATTTTCTTTTATTTAAACGTAATATTGAGAATTTCTTTAATACAAAGTTTTATTGAGATTTCCATTAGCAAACATGGATAATTCATGTTGGCTGAAAATCTTTTTAAAAAGATATATGTACATATGCATATTTATGTGTGTATTCTTGGATCAGAAAATAAGGTTGAGAACATTTCAGTAGATGGAAGGCAGAGGAACTGCAGATGAAGCAGAAGAAGAAAGAGGGATGGAGGAAGAACTGAGTGTGTCAGAAGTTAAGAGAAAAGGTGATAAAGGTGCAAGTTGCTTACAGTACAAGACAGAGAGGAATCAATGAAGAGGAAACCAAATATTGAAATAAAGACGTGATCATGGTAGTCAGCTGAGAAGAGCCACAGAACATGGAACTGATAATCGTATGTCCTGTACATTGCTGAGGAGAAAGCTCAAAAGGGAAGTGAGAAATGTTTAAATTACATAGTGTATATTGAAAATTTGCCCTCTACTTTATTCCAGGCCATCATGTACAATTTTGGTTTCATTTGATTTCCTGTGAAGTGTATCATGCAGGGTCATCCTTTGCAGAGAGGTGGGTTTTTTTCTTCCCATCCTCCCTGCCTATGCAAAGCTTAAAAAAGCATGAATATGTTTTCTCTATGATCTTCATTTTGTGTTACCTGCCTCCCTGAATTCACAATCACGAATTTCCTCAGGGCTCTTGAGTCTTTTTATTTGATCTCTGCTCTCTGTCTGCCTCTAGTGTGCCCCAGAAAGCACATGGTAGCAGCACTGTGATGGAATGCACCCCTATATTCACACTCTACACACGATCGTTATAATCTTCATACCAAATATGCCTTGTGAGGTTTCATTTGAAAACTTAATAACTTTCTGGTCAATAATATCATGGTGAAATGTATCTAGCAATATATGTAAAGTTATAAATTGCTCCTGAATGATGATGGTGGCACATGTTCAAACACACATAGCCCCAGTTAGGCAGAACTGGCCAAGCAGGTCTTAAAGGAATGTGGGTTTACTTCAGTTTACGTATAAGTTGTAAACAGGGTCCTCAGACAGTGAGGGAGGGAAGACAGGAGACAAGAAAAATCTTCATTTTTGCAAACAGACGTGAGAAGAAACAGCATGGAACCGCTTTCGCTACTAGACACCATGTTGCCTCCTTTACTGTTTGAATAAACTTGACTTTGAGGGGTAACCTAGAAGAAAATGCATCTCAAAGGGGGACTGGACTATGAGAGTGAGGGGCAAAAACACCTGAAGTTCTCTCTCCCTAACCATCTCTTTTTTCACCTAAGACGACAAAGAGAAACAGCTGTTGGACTTTGGGAGTAGATCCTGGCCTGAGAGTTTGGTCAGCAGTGTTACTGGGAACATGGTTCAAGGTGAAGTCCCTTACCACAAGTCCAGCTTGTTAAGTTTAGAAAGCATTCTATCTTTCTTTTTCTTGTAACCATTTCTGACTTTAATGCATCATTACTTGTACTCACTTAAAATCTATCTCTTTGTGAGTAAATAAATGTGCTTTATTCTTTAATCAAAACTAATCCAGCGTTGTGAATTGTTTGGGTAACACTATTTGGGTAGCAGACAGTTGTATGCCTTAGAGGGGCAATGGACCTGATATATCTGGACTATCCAGGAGAAGGCTGGACAGTACAAAACACACATTTTTGGGGGAGAAATCCAGGATGGGGGGTGTTTGGGGTCACCCTCCAAGTACTGACCAAGGCTGCTGGAAGCCAGAGTGTGGCTGGTGTTTGATGACAGGCTGCTGGAGTCAGAGTTGCTGGACCAGGGCTGTAGCTATGCACAGACACTCAGGGTGTGACCTGCATGCTGCTTGGCTATTTGTGAGGAGCCCACATTGGGAACTACAGCAGCAAAGCATAGTGAGGCTCCCCAAGTTGCAGGACAAGTGGTGACACAACCCCTCACAGGTCTGGATTGCATCCCAGAATGTCATAAGTATCCAAAACTCTCTAAAGTCAAGCATCACTTTTTAAAACAATATTATTATTTCTATTGATTAATTTATGTTAGAGTGGCAGCCAGAAGCTCAGATCAGAGCCCCATTGTGCTGGGCATTGTACGTACACTCTGCCTCAAAGACCTTACGGTCTAAATGGACAGAACAGATTAAGGGTGGGAGAAAGGAAGCATTATTATCTCTGTTTTACAGATCGGGAACTGAGGCACAGAGATTGACTTGCATGAGGTGGCACAGGGAGTTTGTGGCAGAGCTGGAATTAAATCCAGTCCTAGTCTAGTGCCTTAATGAAGAAATCTTTCTTCCTCTCCAAAGCAGGCATGGAACACAAACTCATACAGGATAGGTTTCAGAGGAACAGCCGTGTTAGTCTGTATTCGCAAAAAGAAAAGGAGTACTTGTGGCACCTTAGAGACTAACCAATTTATTTGAGCATGAGCTTTCGTGAGCCACAGCTCACTTCATCAGATGTGTACCGTGGAAACTGCAGCAGACTTTATATACACACAGAGAATATGAAACAATACCTCCTCCCACCCCACTGTCCTGCTAGTAATAGCTTATCTAAAGTGATCAACAGGTGGGCCATTTCCAGCACAAATCCAGGTTTTCTCACCCTCCACCCCCCCACACAAATTCACTCTCCGTGATTCAAACTCGGAGAGATTTTGGTAATTCTGTTCGGAGAACAAAGTGACTCAATCTCTGGGGGTGGGGGGGTGCAATCTTGTGGAGGGAGATTTTGGGGCAGTTGCTCCAGGTTCTTCTTCACCCTGCTTACAGTTGTCATTTTTCATTATCTTCGTTTTAGTGGTGTTACTGGAAGCTGGTTCAAGGTGCACTGATTCTCGGGTTCCTAACATAGCCCTCTAGATGCTCTTTCAACTTGTTTGGCAGCTACTTCCAAAATATCTCAAGTGCACAATTTTATTTTGTACATTTTTTTTACCAGGGGTAAATTCCCCAGGGATGCCCTCTCCTCTATGATTATTTGGGCGATGGGAGGAGAAAATCTGACCCATAAACAGAATGGTGATGTGAGAAGGAACACTTTGAAAATGCAAACACTGTCCAAGGGGAAAGTGCTGCCTCTTCCTCTTCCCAGCTCCTTCAGACTTTCTTTGCAGTAACACTTTTTGGTGACCAGGACGTCTGGTTGAGGCACCAAGAGGAAGGGGCAGCTGTTATGATCAGTTGCAGAAACACTTTTTGGTTGCACATTTTTAAAGGGACTGAGAAGCCTCTTGCATGTATTCAAGAGACACTTCAAGAGGCTTTGTGGAAGTCCAGTTAGATACATAGTTTGTGTGGGACATCAGAACGGGAAGTATAATTTAGATAACTTAAATAAAAGGTAGCATGGGTGAAACATGTTACTGACACACAAGTTGTGTAACTGATGGCCATGGAGGGGTTATATTTTCATTACTTCTCAGTATTAATTTGAACGTTGGAAGAAGGATGTGCCTGTTTAGAAGACAAAATATAATGTAATCTGATGTAGAAGCCTGCATTTACTTCCTTCAGATGAGAAATTACTGTTTGCTAGCCCTTTTTCAAATCTGATCTCTGCAGCTTAATTGGCAATAATACAAATGTTAACAGCTGTATAAGAGATGTTATTGAGTCCACAACAGTAGCCATGGTTACCTGCATACTTTCATTGCTTTATTAATGTGTAATTCATTTTTTTCTGGAAATACCATTACCAAGTAACATAATACAATACAGCCTCTTAGCGGGTATTACTGTGTAGAGAAGAGCATCTCTCAGTGAACCTGAAAGCTGTTTATATCAAACTGGATTATATACAGAACATACCACCTATATATTATAGATCCCGTAAATGCTGTATCGTAACAGAGGGAAAAGAGAATCCTACAAGTTTCAAGTGATATTACTCTAGAACTTTTCACAATAAAAGAAGAGACTACTTAATATCGTTTGGCATTAAAAAAAATGGTCTCTGATTTACACCGGTGGGCGTAGCTGATCTTGTGGTCAGAGTGCCCTTTCTCTCTGCTTCCTGCATCCAACTAGTGCTCTGAAAACTTGCACTACTGGTGAATCTCAATGAAAATAATTAGCCAGATCTAGATCCCTGCTCAATCCTTTTACTGCCAGTCTGGTACCACAGACTGGAGGGATAACTGACTTACATAGATAGCTGGCGACTCTGCTGATGTAGGGAAATCCCAGGATAGGATCACCAGTTCCTGCCCCACTTCAGCCAAGCATAGGGGCCCACTGGCATTTGGGGTGTGTGACTGGAATGCAGTCCTGGACCAATAAATTTGAATCTATAGGGCAGTTACTGCCAATATAAGCTGTAACACCCTTAAAGTTACTCTAATTTGTGCTAGAGAACAAATTCTCTCCCATCTGCCCCCACGATCAGTGGGATGGAAAGGTGGTATAAAGTTACCTAAGCCCTCTGCTCCTTGCTCTCTCACCCTCCATCCCACCCTATCATGCTGAGCATAGGTGAGGTGCACCTGAGGACCTGGCCTATTTTTTTGCCAGATTAATGAAAAGCAAACAATTAACTGCACCAGATTTTTCAACTGCACGCTAGCTTAGCTAATAAAGAGAATAATAATAAATATTTCCACTTCAGAATATCTCAAAGTGCTTTGCAAATATTAATGCATTCAACTTTACAAGAATGCTGAAGCCCATATATTCAGGATTTAGGTTGGTTTGTTTGTTTTAGTGGGATGGGGTGAAATTAATCCTGAATGCATAACCAATGTAAATCAATTTAAAATAACAAAGAAATAGCACCCAAAGAAAGTGGATGGGTGTTTTGTTTCTATGGGATTGTGTGATCTGATTTCTTTCAATATAAGGTTTCTTTATACTGTTTCTACACTGTTCCATAGCATAACATAGCACACTTTGCATGCCTAACAGCATTTAATTGAACATGTATATAAACTGCATTTAAAAATACTGTTACTTGACATTTGTGTGTTTACAGTGAAATCTGGGTATTGATAGGTTGCTGCATTGGCTTGAAATAAAGACCAAATAATGCAATATTTAAATATGACACTGAAAAATTACTAGGATTGCCCGATGAAACCATGTTGAAAAGAATGTTAAAGCTTTGATGAGCCAGACCCATTTTCAGTGCATTTCCGAGGACAAGAAGCAGGATGGCATTAAGATTAAGAGTCCCATAGCAAAGCCGGCTGTTGCCACAGTCTAGCTTCTGTTGCTGCTCCAGTGCTGCCAGGTTGGAGCTATTTATAGACACTAGCCCGTATCTATCCGTGTGCATAGACATACTACTCTCTCAGAAGTTGTTGTGTTTCTACAGAAGTGACGTCTGATTTATTTTCCGGTCCTTCGCAGGGTAGTTTGTTCTGTACCATGCAAAAGGGATGAAGCTTGACACATCAAAAATCTACACACTGTACATTCTCTTGCTTTGTATGTTTCTATTGTTTATGTAAAATGAATTCCTTAATTTCTGTTTGTGTACTCTCCATCTGCAAGACATCGGGCTTAATTTAGCTCTGGGATATGCTGGCTTCAACCAACTTGAGCATAGGGCTGCTCTCAGCAGAAAATCTGCCGGGAAGAGATGATCAGGAGGGCTGGTGCCAAGAGCCTGCACACCCCACTTCTCCAGGGAGCAGCACAGCCTCTGACTAGGGAAGAGGTGTGGCCAGGAGCCCCAAGGGGTGCATTGATTGATCAAATCTCCCAGTGAGCCCCTGGCCAGGAGGCTCCCATGGAACATTAGCCAGAATTTAAACCTGCCGTCCTTGCAGTCACTGGTCGTGCAAACACTGGCCTGCTGAGGGAGTATGCCGACCCAGAGGCAAAGCTGCTCCTGATTTTCACCTGCTGTGCCAGCAGAATTGAGACAATAGCAGATGATTTCCCAGCTAAAATACCAGTTACAGATGTCACTCTTCACAAGGGACGAGAGTGTTGGTTGTAACCCATGCCTCTGAGGGAATATATTGGTGGTACGCCTGCCAGAAGACTATAGTTTGGGGAGGAATGGAGAAGCTACAGAGTTCTGTGTAATCTGCTAACTAATTTCTCATTTGGAATGATAGGTCTGTGCTAAAATGTATCATGTCAGCACTTTGATTTTTCATTTAACTTGAGATAAAAATTTCAGGAATTTTTTTTTAATTTCTGTTAAATTTAGAACCTTGGGGAGGTTGGAGTTGTTTCATTTGTGGGTATGAATGAGACAGTCCTTTTTAATCAATTATATCCAATTATGAGTGATGAGGGTATTTCCCCGCCCCCCCCCGGTCAAGTTTCTGACTTCTCACAACTATAAACATCCCTCATATCCTTTCACACATGGATGTTGTGGTTTTTACTCCTCAATTAACCTTGGCATTAAAAATTAACAGAATGCAATAGACTAAAGAGGAAAATAAGAGCACAGTAGTTGTACCTGATTTCTTTGGTCGCAGAAATAAAAACTCACTATAGAGCACAGAAATATGCTTAACAAGAAT